GGTAATGAAGAGCAGAGATGGCCTTTTAGAATTCTGTTTTCTACTGTACCTCTACAACCCATAGACAAGATAAAGCAGGAAGGAAATCACAGACTTGACAGGTGAAGGCTAAAAAAAACTGTACTGGTGTTATTTTAAAGTGAATTAACATTGTCTGAAATATATCTAGTCACAGAGATAGCAGAACAAACCTCCATAAAGAGAGTTTCACTTGCCTGTTCCCAGTCATTGCTCATAAACCAAACATCAATCTTCAACTTTCAAAAAAATTGGCAGGGATGACAGAGAACTATACGTCCAAAAATCATATTTCCTGCAGTTTTCTTTGTTTGCTGTTAAGGATGTCTTGGATGCAGTTAGACAACTAGGTCTGAAGGCTTGTGGCCACAGTTCTGCCCCTGTGCACTACACAGAGTAGAAGGACACTAATGGGAATACAGGGTACAGTTTTCCATGCCATCTCTCTGAAAGCAGGCAGGCTTAAAAGACTGGAAGCAGAGAGCTTGAAACCACTCACATAGTTAAAGAGCTGGGAGTGCTTCTCATTACATTCAGTGTCATAAGGAGGCAATGCTCTTTAACTTGCCAACCTTAACACTCTGCTGTCTCGCCTGCCCTCACAGCTCTAGTCCAGAAAGCACTTCAAAAACCTCCACACCTTTTATTGTGCAAGTGTGAGATGATTTATATGCTCAAGTTGCCTCCAGTGCACTTTCATCTAGCCAGAGCAGGACACAATAGAACCTTCTTCATATCCAAGAACTCCAAGTATTTCTTTTGTATTTATGTGTGGGTGTGTCTGTGTTCTGAATAATCCTTTTTTTCACTGAACGCTTAAGTTAACATAAGATCCTGCTTGTATTAGGCTGGACTACGTACATCTTTGAGTCTATGTGATACACATAACCCCCGAGTTACTCCACATACCTACTGATGGCCAGGACGGATGGGGCTCCGGGCAACCTGATCTAGTGCTCGATCTAGCAGTTGGCAACTCCACCCATACCAGGGGGTTGGAACTTGATCATCTTTGAGATCCCTTCCAGCCCAAGCCATTCTATGATACAAGTGATCCAATTATAGGCAAATTCACACAGTTTATTCCTTGGACTGCTCCTAGAGGCAGCCTTCCAGCATTGCTATCATCTTTGATCTCTCATGGATAGAACATGAACTATATCATTCTATTTCACACCTGAAAGGAGTCCGGTGACTTCTTCAGCCAGCATGATGTAATGTCAGAATTTGTGTTACCAGAGCGTTTAGACAAAAATACTGGGACAAATTCTCTCTTAACTGGGACTACTTTAGACTACCTGCTAGGAAAAAAAAAAAAAAAAAAAAAAACTTAAAAGATAAATCTGTCCATAGAAGGAATGAGCACAAGAAGATCAGTGACACACAAGCAACATATTACCCATATCTAAGTCATTAACTCAATGGTTGACTTAAGTACACAGCTGATACAACATGGAGATCCCTGGGATTTATGTGAAAACCTGCTAACCAAACTTAGTCCTCACAGTCCTGTAGGGCTCATGACATGGACACATACTCTACTCATACTCTAAAGAGAAACATCTAAGCTACTCTAACAGCAGAATCCAAGCAGCACATGGCAGCCTCTAGAACTAGAAAAGTTAATGCAATAAAATATTCTCCAAATGATTAAGAGATTAATCTCTGCTCACATCCTGCTAATTTTCCTTTTGATTCCATCTTTTTGAAGCTGTAAATAAATATTATTCTGAAAACATTGCTGCTCAATCTTTTTCTTACCATGTGAGTCACAGGCATCTGGAAAAGAGCAAATATTTCTGCTTTTCTTTGTCCTCTAATCTCTGATACGCTCTTAATGTTCTGTGCACTAGATGCTCTCAGGTAAAGCTTGCCAAGTGCTATATCAGCGTAGTTCCAAAACTCCCAGAAAGTTTCTTCTCAGTCCCTCACAAGAACACCCTGGTCACTGATTTTGAAAAAGTGATTCTCTAAGTATAAGCAGTTACAGAAAGCCTAGTAGCTGTAAAAATGGATAGAGGTAATAAGAATTAAGTGCATTGCATATCACTTAAATGATATGGTCAGAAATAAGCTGCTTATTAAAAAAAATAATAACAATAAAATCGGTGTTGAAGAAAAATACGAAACAGTTAATCCTCTTCATGCAGTTAATCATCAGCCTGGAAAGAGTTTCTTCCCAGACAAGAGTGTTGGAGCAAAACTACAGGAATCATTCACGAAATAATTACGTGGTCCTATGGGAAATGATGCACTACAAAGGTAATAAGCCACCTAGTACTGATTTCGTAATAACATCTTACTGATGCTCTTACAGAAAGACTCTGGGGAATATCCAGCAGGCACATCAGATCTTAAAATACACTACAGGAAGTTTCCTGGCCTGTTGATAGCGCCAGCCTCTCATGTATAAGACATTCCATCTGTATTTAGAAACCACGCGCTTCATTATAGGAATATATTAAGTTCTGTTTGACTTTCTAGAGATTTAGGTATATGTTAAGTGCCTTCCAGTATACTGCTAATATTGTGAGCTAACAAAAGCAATGATTAGGCTAAAAAAAAACAACCAAACAAAAAACCTTCAGACAATCCAACAGACAACAGCTCAGTCAACAGCTTCCCAAGAGACATCCATGTCCCCACCACAGGCAACGTTCAGCCCTGATACCAATGCAGAAGGCGTCTAGGAGAGAATAAAGAATGGGTTTCCAACTGTGCAGCCCTTAGTGGGAACCATATCTGACCTACCTCACAGCTGTCGCAAACATGACAAGTGATTGGATGCAATAGATGGAAATTTGAGAAGAAGTACCTGCAAACCTTGGGAGTTGTTAGAAATGTGGATACTAGACATCAGTACCTAAGGGATAAGAAACATAACAAGTGTTAGTTAATTACTATCAATTCACTTTGTAGGATATAAATGAACACCTACGGACATAAATGAACTTTGGATCTTGTTTTCCCTAGTGGCAGCTATGGTTGCTGGGTTGCCACCAAACCTTTTGTGGCTTCAGTACAGCGTTTTATCAGTTATTTAGATTATCTGTTATAACGGAGGAAAAATGCAATCCTGCAGTCCTTTTTGAGTGGAACAGTGTAAGTATGAATACACATGTATATATCAAGAAAGTAAAAGTATACCAAGATAACATACAAAAAGATGCATCAATAGATCAGAAAGTAAAAAGATTGTCTTCAGTTGCTGTTTCATTTGATTTGACACTAAGTAACTGTGTTTTCTAGAAGTAGCATCTGTCATGAGGGACAAAAAGGCAAGAAGGCAAATTTTGTTTCTAAACTTAGAAGACAAACATTTTGATGAGCAAAACAAACATCTGCAATTCGCTGGTGTTCTGCATAGCTCAGCAGGACTCAGTTCCGTTTAAATAGAAACAACAGTTGCTTTACTGCATGCCACTTTCATTGTAGTTGCAAGCACTGCTGAAGTCATGCAAGTTACTAGAGAACAAAGCTTGTTCTCTATGTCTCCAGTCATTTTTGTCTAGCACCGTTCTGTAATTTTCTTATCACAATAGTGGTGCACCTCAGCACTGTTTCCAAGAAGCCTGTTTTCTTGCTTAGAACTTAGCTATGCCAACACCAGTCTGCTGTGCAATCCATCTGTAAGCAAGAAAGAACAATTACCAGAAAAGAATTCCACAGTTTCTGTTATGTAAATGAACATACAGCACTACTCCTCTATACTGGTTGGATAATACTAACTGGATTTTACGTCCTTCAAATGTTTTGGATGTATGCTCAGCTCCACTGAAGAGCAGAATTTGATTTCATTAATTTAATAGTCTGACCCAGATTCATTTGTGTGCATGTGACCCACTGCCTTCAGTCAGTATGTGTGCATATGAAAATTTATGTAAAATGAGCTTGCACGATTCAAACTCAAGACTTGGTATTTCCTAGATGTTAATGCAAAATAGGCATTTTGCAGCAATATAAACTGACTGAAAATGAATAAAAGCAACCTAGCTTGAAGCTTAGAAGATGCATTTATTATTTCGGCATTGCTTAAAGAACGTCTCACGTTTGACATGATTAACCACTGGAAGAAGAAACATCTCTTACATAAACATATTTATGTGCTATTTGTAGAGCTTATTTTGCAGATCCTCAGCTGACAAATGACTGCCTGAAAAAATAAGTGGCTCACCACTGTAAGCCAACAGGGAGTCACAGCTCTCATTCACATTATTGTCAAACGCAGTGGAGAAGAAACTCATCCGGAGAAGTGACTTCTTGGTGGAGGGTTGTGCCAAACCATCAGCTGCAGTACACAAGCTCTCACAGTCATTTTCTCTGACCTATCGACTCTAGATTTGAAATGGCATGGAAGAAAGGCTTAAGGAAATGAAAACGTAATTGTTCTGCCAATTACATTTCAAACACCAACAATCACACGCACATTCTGAGAATCAAGTTCTCCGGTCTGTTTCATTCTTTTTCTGTTTTGTTCTCTTCCTGAGAAGGAATAACTATGTCACATTTGTATAATTCACTATAAGTAAAGAAAAGGCTCTTCTAATAGGAAATGGTACATTCTGAATTAGTTCACTTCATAAATGCTCACCAGTGGCTGCCATGGAATGAGACAGAAGGAGGTCTCTCAAGGACCATTTGGCAAAACACTATGTATGGGATGGATAAACCCTGTTCTCCACAGAACTTTACCTCTGACAGTGACATAGTGCTCTCAAAACAACCCAACGCTTAAATCTAACATTTCACAAAACCAATCAATGCATTTCAAATGAATAATAGATTTTGTTTTAAGGAAGAACGAGCTCAAAAAAAAGAATAACACTTATTGAATCATGATTTTGGAGCAACGTTTTCCTCCACTCAAAATTAGGTTCTAGTAAAGCCATAACAAATTTTGAAACAGAATATCTTCCAACCTTTCCCTTTGCCAAGAAAATCTGGTTTGATGTTCTTTTAAAAAAATCATTTCATTTGAACTCCGCAAAACAAGCAACTTGGAAACGTTTTCCAGTTATGTCTAGTCACATGCAGGTATGATGGGATGCAATTTGAACAGTTAACAGCAATGTTCATTTATAAAGATGAAGATTCGGGGGAAGCTAAATAGCCTTGGGTTAGTGCTAGTTAGCAAAAAACAAAGAAACATAGCACAACTGAGTTTCTTTCCCTGACTTTTCCCACCACAAACACTTTCCTTCCTATCAGGATGGGACACATTTCGAAGCAACAAAGCCCTCATCTTCCCACTATTAATTGTTCAAAGCTCAAGTTAAATAACAGCAGTAGTAATACAAACATTTGAGATGTTAGAAGACAGGTTTGAACATGTGCCAGTAGACTAGGAAATTAACCCTTTTCTCATGGTTATTTCAAGCCTACAATGGTACCGCAGAGACAGTGAAGTCTTTGTTTCAGTGGAAATAATTGTGCTTCAGGGAGGGGGGCATTGGACAGGAGGAACATAAAGCCACATAAAAAGAAATAAAACTTTCTAGTTTTATTGGGATGGTCACATAAAGTGATCCTGCGCTTCGTCAAATGTTATTTGAGCATCCAGTTGCTACTGATACAGTCCCAACACACAAGGTATTGGTACTAAGAAGCTCTGATTACACCCTTAACTGAGAGGTTCAACATCCCTTGTCTTCTTCTGCTCCAAACCTGATTTTCCCTAAATCATTCATATCATCTCCTTGGATGACAGCTCTACTGCGCAGCAATACCTAGAGTCAAAGAATCACAAAGGTTGGAGAGGATTGCTGAGACCATCTAGCGCAGCCATCAAGCCATCACCTATGTCCACCAGACCACATTAAAAGGAGCAATATCTGCCCTTTCCTTGAAAAATCTCCAGCAGTCTGAAAAGGACTTCACCTCTCAACTCAGACAATGACTAAAAGCTAAACAGACCAAGCATTTTATTTCATTTTCCTCCTCTTGAAATGAAATACAGTATGGCAAGGTATTAGTAAACACATGCTAGTGCATATAGCCTGAAGCAACATGATTTAAGACCTGATAGCCCAAATGCATAGCCCAACACAGATTGACTGCAGAGTTCATTAGTGAATTGCATTAACTGGCAACGAGCAAAGTTTTAAACAACTAATTCCCAAAATTAGTAGCAGGAAGATTAAATACATAAAATATCAGAACTTCAAGTTCTTGAACTTGGAAGTGCTGCCTACTTCTTCCCCCCATTAGCTGCACATGCCAACGGCCTCATTTGGATCAACTTCAGCTCCATAATACATCTGCGGCATTAGCTACTGCAGCCAGCCTCACAAACCACTTGGCTTTATTAACTTTTTTATCTGCTTCCCAAGACTTGCTACTTAGTCTTTTGACAACTACTCTGCTAGCTATAAAAATAGGTCATATAATTTATTAATGCAGAATATTTCCTGCACAGTTTTGATTCAGTACTCCGGGGATGTTGCAGGAGAGGAGGCTGTGAAGTATTACGATAGTGGAACCCTCCATGCAGCACAAGACTGTGCAACGACATCACTACGTGACTTGGGAAACTTTCATTTGACCATCTATAGGAAGCATCACAGCAGTGCAGAGTGACTTGAGCTGCCAGTTAAAGTCCTTCACCCCATTGCTACCCAAGACCGTCCATAATTTCTGCCTGGTCATTACCAAAGCAATTCTTATACTTTCCAGAACCAACATGAAGAATTGAAGCCCCAAACCTTGTTCATTTTCAGTCTTTCCTTACAAAACAAGAAACGAAAGACAGCAGTCTTGTTTTCACTAGGCATGCTAGTACCAATTTTGTTTCAAAAAACTACTTGAATGCAGCATCAACTATTCACAAAGCTGTAAAACATTTCTTGACCTCTGCCTCTTGTGTTTCTTCCCAACTTCTGCAGCCCTCATTTCTATCAGATTTCATGTACCTGACGTCAGATACAATCACATGGTTATTCCCACAATATTTTTCAGTGAGGAGGAATTCTGGGTGTTTTTGTCTTCTATCCATCTACCATGGAAAACAGACAAATTGAAGAACCCTGTATTACACACCTATGCTTTGCCAGTTGCATGAAAGTCAGGGCTTGCTGACTTCAGCAGCAACATTCCCAAATATTTGTTAGTACTGCTGTTCATTTAAATGTTAACAAGTGAACTCTGTTGCTTTTCTTTACACTAACAAAGCTCACAGTAATTCATCAGCTGGTTTATGCTTCTGCAATTTTTACTATGGTTCTTCCTTCAACTTTTCACATTACTTCGGGGAATTAAAACCCTCAAATGAAATTTAAATATGAATTTAGCCTTTACCCCCTATTACAACAACGACAACTATTATAAATATTTTTAACTTTTCTTTTTTTGGACAAATAAGTAGCTTGAAGCACACACAACTATTTCTAGTTCTCCTTCAACACAGGCAAATGTTTCAGACAGCTAGAACCCTGCCAAGCTCTGACTGCTCCTTCTAGTTCTTTTGCAATGATGAGTCAGCACTTGCTACTAAAAGTAAAGAGTTACAGAATAAGCTGTTTTTGTTCCAAGCCTGAAATAAACAACAACAAGACAATTATTCCTTGATTTTCTACCTCTGACCTCCCCTGGGCTCCCCAATCTTTTTGCTTGCTTGATTTAAAGAAGCACATGTAGCAACAGATAAGAAAGAGAAGGAGTTGACAAAAACTGAAACTTCAAGAAAATTCAATGTAGGCATTTATAATGCAGACATTCTAAGCTACCTTGATGAGCATTATTAAATTCCCCTTTGTTTTGCAATACTCTGCACCGTACTAAAACGTCCCAGACACGCCAGGAAAACGAACTACAGGGGAGTTTGTCAGCACACTGAAGCAGTGACTTATTTTTAATATGCTAAATGCT